GTTAGCTATATTTATGCTGGATGGAGAAACCAAAAGGTGGTTGCATAGGCAATGTTAGGACAGGCTCCATTTTTTTTTTCAAGAGAACTGATATATTATATTAAAGCAGAGATTTAACTGATGCTAATAGATAAAATATAGAAAGCATGGCGTGTCCATATGAAAGAAGAGTATTGTTAGCTATATTTATGCTGGATGGAGAAACCAAAAGGTGGTTGCATAGGCAATGTTAGGACAGGCTAAGGTTCATAGCAAACATTGTGGTAAATTGTGAGGATTTTGTGTAGCTTTTCAGGGAGTGTTTTTTACCCCTATTCGCTTAAAGACAGATGCATGACAAGTTATTTAAGCTGATGCAAGAAGAAAAGACAATTATGCAATGTGAAGAAAAGTTCACTGCACTATTGAGTTATGCACCACAGTTGATAGCTACTACAGAAGAGAAGTGTTACATGTTTTTTTTGGAATTCAAGAATTTAATCAGTCAACTGTTGGTACCATTGGGAATTGACGATTATTCAATGTTAGCGAAGAGGTCTAGACGAGTAGGGATTGATTATTAGCTTACTTTAAAGCATAAGAAGATTCATAAGAAGAAGAGTATGATGACAGAGAGCGTGTGGATCAATCTGTGGGATCAATGGAAAGATGCCCACCCAACTTAACTTAAAGTGAATTTATTAGTGACACTACTTGCAGTATTGTAGTCACGTGTGCCAATTGTGAAAACAACAAAAAGGTGAATGTTTGATCGACTCTCATACATATTATTGGTGTAGTCAACCTGGTCACATAAGTAGGTGTTGCCCATCACTTGGCCATAAATTCTTAGAAGAACAAAACCCTAGTGGAGCGTCTTTGTAGAGGATGGCAAGTGGGCAAAGAAGGATATAGTCAATAACTACAGTTCCAGTTCAAGGTCAACCACGACAGTTTGTCTGATCTCGAGTTTATGCACTTACTCATAGTGAGCCTGAAGAATCGACTGTTATAAATGCTAATAGGGTTTGATGAGTGATATTTTATTGCTTGTTCTAGAGGTATCATTCTAGTGTTTTGCTGCTTCAGATGTGTGTATTGTTTTAGTTATATTATTTTCTGTGTTGTACTGTTATTCTTATTATGTATTTTATTTTAGTTGAGGTATATTGTACTAGACATTTGTTTTGTTCAATCCACTTTCCATCTTAATGAATAGAATATAAACTTTCAACTGAAAATTTCTGGATAGTTCATGTGTCTTCTGCAATGATTTGAGGCTTGAGAAAGATTTTTAAATTTTGATGATGAAATTTTTTTAAGGATGAGAGATTGTAATCATTGAAAATAGTTTGTATTGTTCGAAGGAGAAGTGACGCTTGCAAGAAATCATAACAAAGAATTATCCTCTTGTTTCTTCTTATTTGAAAGAAACGACGAAAACATAGAACTAAGAAACATTGCAAGAGAGGAAGAGAAAGTCAACGATTGAAAATGGAGTATGAGAAGCCGTGAGGAAAAAGAGCAAGGAAACCAAGCATTTTCTCTATCTTGTGGATCGCAGATTCGAATGAGCGCCATAAAACCTCCTCGAAAAATCCCATGCACTAATCAAAGGAGAGATCGCTTATTCCTATTGCCGGAGATTTAACACCATTTGGAGGAAGATGAGGTTCAAGATGATCCAATGTTGTGTGTGGGTGTTTGCGTGAAGAGTCCGACAACATTATAGGGAAGAGAAGGGAGGTTGAGTAGTCGTGGCAGCAGTAGGTTCTTCTGTGAAGAACGAAGCTTGGGAGAAGAATCGAGGGGGTAAGTCATGTGCGAGAAGGGCACTCGCATGTGACTTTGTTCTACATGACGAGTAGGGAGAAGATAAGATTCACCTCATGCAGGAAAGGGAGGAAGTAGCATGCAATTGGTTTGCGTCGAGAAGTGCAACTGAATAGTGGAAAAAAAGGTAAATTACAAACCAAGGTTTCTTAGATTTTTATTTATATTAATTAATTTACATTTAAAACATTAATATAGATTTTCTTTTGTTAATCAAAATCATAAAGCAGGAAAAAGAATTAACAGTGAATGAGAGGATAAAGAGGTATGATTAGAGTTTATTTATATTAAATTTTATTGGATAAAATGTTTGATTTTATTCAATATTTTAGAAATTTAGCACAATTTAATTCACACAGACACACACCGAATGAAGCAACCTAAGAAATTGTTGACTTTGTAATAATCTTTGCAATAAGAAGAATTGAGGTAAATTTCAATTATGCATCTAATTTGTGTTCATTAAATACTTAATTCAAGGATAATTTTAATTTTAAGAATATTTTAAGGGCTTGGAATGGAACGATTGATCGAGGAAAGAGTAATTGAAGAATTTTTGTAAGAGAAATATAAAGCTTAATTCAAGGATAATTTTAATTTTAAGAATATTTCAAGGGCTTGGAATGGAACGATTGATCGAGGAAACAGTAATTGAAGAATTTTTGTAAGAGAAATATAAACATATAATGGTTGCATGCATCATTAACTGAAATTTATATCTATGAATTAATGCTAGATTTAATGACTAAAATAATATGATAATGTGTTTTTTTATTTTACTAATAATAATACTTTATTGTTATGATAAATAATTATAAATTATATGTAAATTCATTTGTCTTATGAGTAAACATGGGTTTGATCTGTAGGATTGAGTTTTGAGAAGATAAGCATAACAATTTATTTAGAAATATTTACAAAGCGATGGGAGTATGCATGTTCTTATGATAGAGTAATATTTTTGCTTATTCTAAATCAAATATATTTAATGTTGCTAGTTATATTTGTATCACTGCATACTTATGATTTATGATACTATTGAATTTTTATTCATATTGGAGGAAAGGTAAGTGTCTTCAATATTATTTAAATTATCATAAATATTGAATATTATACAAATATATTGACTGTTATTTAAATGAGAATGAATCGATCATTATTAGATATTGTTTATTATTGTATGTCTGTCATGAATCGATCATTATTAGATATTGTTTATTATTGTCTGTTTGTTCATGGTTGACTATGATGAAGTTCACTCCTTTATGGTAATAGTTGGGGAATGTTAAGTTACCCATGCACGTAATTGAAAAATCATATTAATATTATGTACCTTAATTGGTACAATTTTAGATAGCGCTCCTATGATGATTGTATATAAAATGATATAGTATGACATAATAAATATTTGAAATATTTTGATCGATCATATTCATAAATATAAATTATTAAGTGCTTTTATACTGATTTATTAAAAATTTAACTTACATATATATTGTTGTTTTTTCTTTTATTACTGTATTTTATGAGTATGAGTATTTATTGGCTTGTTAGCTTATTTTAATCAAAATTAATATTTTCATTTTAAAATTTTAAAGTAAAGATGATTAATAGAAGAAAATTTTTTATAGAAAATGCAGACAACCTGAATTAAGGTAAATTTAATTGCATTAACTATTTTTTCAGTAATAGCTCATTTATTTTGGGACGATTAAATGTTAGTTATCAAAAATGAAGGAAAAAAATTTAATTTTCATTGTTAGACCGTTTGTTCCCGTCTTGGAAAATTCCAAGCCTCTCAAGCCAGGTTGCGATATGCTCATGGTTAACTTGATTATTTTTTTACTAATTTAACTTGATTTTTTTATGTCAATTGACAATATTTAAACCAGTTAATAAACAAGCTAAAAAATTGAATGAGTGTTTATGTTTTTATATAAACCTTTCAACAAATAATTTTCTAAATCTATATAAATAAATAATAAGATAAATTTTAAATTAATATAATTACTTTGCACAAATTAAATAAGAAAATATATATGTTGCAAGTAAGCTTTCTTGCAGTCAAATAATAATCTAAGTATTAATAAAATAATTCCTTAAATTAAAAAATAAGAATAAATTGCATTAAATTAATTACAATATTCATTAATTAATAGCTAATCCTAAAATATTATTGTTATATTAATAATAATATTGTTATTTAAATAAGTTATAATTAATTGAATTTTATTTAATTAATATATTATATATAACATGAGTTATTATTAAACTCAACATTTATTATTTAACAAGTTACTTGTTGAACAATAAATGAGTTTGTTCGTGAACATAAATAAATAAGTTATATCATATTTATGTTTAGTTCGTTTAACCTACAAGCTTTTAGATAAAGTTAAAGTTTGTTTATTTGCTTATTTAAACAAGCATAATCTAGTATTATTTAAGTCTGAGTTCGAGTTGTTCATCGAGTGCATTGGTTCATTTATAACCCTAACCATCATGGAGCATATAACAAGTTTCTTGTTAAACAACTAATTAGTTTGCTTGTGAACGTAAATAAACTAGTGGGATCATACTTATCTTTGGTTTATTTAACCTTTAAGCTTTTAAAAAAAGGTTTAAACTTGTTTATTTTTTAATTTGAACTAACTTGAATGAGTAATGATTGAATGTTTGAGTCTTTCATCAAGTGCGTTAGTTTATTTGCATCCCTATCCATGCCAATCTGGGAATCTAAGAATAGGATAATGGTTTATTCAAAGAGGCATTAAAGTTGAGCTTTTTCTTTTAGAGTATTGGTGACTATTAGACTATGCATGGGATTTTTTGTGTTAACTATGATTTATTGTGCACCACCTCTTTTGGTTGTAAAATGTAATACATGGAAGCGTTTTCTTCCTATTTCTGACCGTTAAACCTATTCAGTTGATCCGCTCATGCTGTTACTAATATGTTAATTTGAATGAACCTAAGTCAAAAAAAAGTATCTCCTTTGTAATTCATTTGAACTGTTGACGCTTTTGCTCATATGTTCATTTGCACGAGCTGATGTAAAAATAAAAATGAATGAACCGAAGTCAAAAAGAATTCTCCTCTAATTACTCCACATTATTTTATATTCATGGAAAGTAGCTCTTCTGAACAATTGTTCTTTATTTTCCGTACTCTTCATTTCTACAAAATAGTACTGGTGGTGGCCTTGGAAAAGGTGGAAAGGGGCTCAGGAACTCTTTTGGGAAGCAGCATCGCTTCTATCCAGAAAAGTGCAGCTCCTGAGGTTATTTTTTTAGGTTTATATAGTACTATGTTGTACGGTAAAACCACCCGTGGCCATGAAATATTTTTTCTTTCTTCATATTGTAGATGTTACTTGCATTAATGGATGAAGCTTATACTGGATCAACTATTGGAGATCGTTCTGGTGATTCTGGATCTGAAGATAACAACAGTATTGATGTAGCTGATCCTGTGTTTCTTGACCTTCTAAAGGATGAGAATGATGGGCTTGTTGTATGTCCTTTCCAGTGTAACAGTGTTTATATCTTCAATCTCTCGCTTATGTTTCTATACAACTTAAAAAAAAAAGAAATCTTTTTTGTGTTCTGATTTTAGGTATATTGATAGATATGGTATTGTGGAGCAAGGATTTTGATCAGCTTTTGTAAAATGGTGCAACTTTTTAGCTATAATCATAAATAAGCAACTATATATCTAACCAAGTTAATCTAGTCTTGAGTTCCATCAAAATACTAACCATTACAGGGAAACAGATGAGTAATGATTTTGCTTCCCTTTTGAGGAAAATTACTTGATCCTATTTTAATTTTGTTTTGATTCAGGAACGACATTGGACATCACCCGGAATGACCACAGCCCTACAGGCTGCTATAAATTCATCACTGTCTGTTAGGCTAAAGCAAGCTCTTAATATGACCCCAAAGTTTCTTTCTCTGTATTTTGCTGTAGCGTTACGAGATATCAGCGATTGTATGTCCCTTGCTTTAAGATGCATCTATGGGATGCAATCTATTTTGTCTATCTTATTCTAAATTTACATTTTGGCATATTATTAAAAAGTTTCATCTTTTGTGTTTCAGCATTGGTGTGTGCGTTGATTCCAATTATTATGTCGAGAAATTCTAATATTTTTCCAGACAAGACTTTCACTTTTGAGGTTGGTTAAGTTTAGATGTAATTTGTATGTTGGGATTTAAAGTTTTAGCTTTGCTTGTTCCTTCCCTTAAGGATGAGATGTAGGGCAACACCTCTTTATTCATTTAAGAAATTTATATTAGATCATCATAATGCATAAATATTTGAATTCCAAACTGTCAATGATATTAAACTGTAGTATGTCAAGTGTTTTTTCTCCACCTATGTTTAATTTTCTTTTTTTTCTAAATTTTATTGAACCTATGTTTTATAAGTTGGAATCATATCAATAACACTGATCATCTGTGATTTTATTGACTTGATTTAACATCAAAAGGCTTTGCTTTTCAATTAAAATACTATGATTTTAGTATTTTCCTTTGGTATGTATTTCGTTATAGGTAAGGAAGAGGCTTTCAGATTTCATTTTAGCTGCTTTCCAGGGATCTCCTCATTTTATTGCGCTTTTGAAGGTAATACATCTAAAAACTGTAAATAAAAGGACTTAGTTCCATGCATTTGTTTTCATATTAAAGTAGTTCTGCTGTTAGAATCGGGTGAAATGAACAGTTTAACATTTCTCTGTTATGTTTTATTATGATTTAATTGGGGATTTTTCCATAGAAAGCTAAAAAAAAACACAAATATCATCATTATAGTCACTATTCTTATCCCAACTATTTGTTCTTAGCTTTATGAACTCTTTCTCATTGATGCTTATTTTAATGCCACAACTAATTTATTTTTCTCAACTCTTTTGTTGTCAACTTTTACCCATAATACCTCTTAATCTATTCATTTTTCTTTTTATTCTTTGCACTTCACTATTTTTTTAGCCCTTATGAAATATTTTCTGCCTCCACTCTACATGCCCTAACCAAATATTTTATTTTTTATTATTTTAACTTCAATGTGAGGAGTGGAGGAAGAGTATTTTGGTCCCCATTTTTAAGAATAAAGGGGATGCACAAGAGTGTGCAAATTATAGAGGAATTAAGTTGATGCGTCATACTCCAAACTTGTGAGAGAGGGTTATTGAACATAGGTTAAGACATAATACAAAGATTTCTCATAATCAGTTTGGATTTATATTAGGTGGGTCTTCTACCATGGAGGAGGTTGTTGTTGTTGTTGTTGTAACTTTAATAAGCGCCGTCTACCATGGAGGAGGTTGTTGTTGTTGTTGTTGTTGTAACTTTAATAAGCGCTATCTGCACTACTCCCATTGTCTTATAGAAGTAAAATTGTCTAATTTTATCCATTCATGTTTCTCCACATTCATGTTAAATTTCTTATTTATATCACTCACCTAAACTATTAGGTAAATTATTTGTTCACCACTGCTTGCTGCATAAAATTATTCACCCTTCTTGTTCTTGATGGTTAATATTATTCTTTGATGGCATTATGCGGCACTGATGATTTGCAGCAGTTTTCAAAGAAAGATTCTTCTACTTCATTTTCAATAGAATATAGTATTTTTTTTTTAGTGAAAATTTCTGAATTGAAACAATTATCGCATAAACAATGTTTGCTCTGCTTGTTTGATTTGCTTTTTATTTGCAATTTTTTTTATTAATATATATACGTATATATATATATATTACTTATTTTCTTGCAGAAGCCTATTGTTGACAGATTAGGTGAAGCCTACGATAATCCTATAAAGGCAAGAAAAGATCCTATCTCCCCCATTCCCAAGGAATTTAAGCTCCACAGTTGAGGCTGATCTTATGCATTTACTCATTTTTATTCTCATTACCTTCCTATTTTGTCATGTTAATTTTCACTGTTTTGACTTGATATTTTACGCAGACAGAGTTGGCTTTAAATTTATGTTGGGCAATTGGGGAGCATGGAGCTGGTGGAGCTTTATACATGGATGTCGCTCGAGAGCTCTTTGAGAGCTTAGAGTTACTTTTATATGAAAATCTTTCTAGCAGGTTGGTATTAATAATGAAAAGAATCAAACTTGAACTTTGGTGTTGTTTGGTGTGAAGATAAATTTCTCTCTTCTTCATCTTTCATGTTACAGCCGCCTGGGCTTAAGCCAGGAAACGGGCTTTGAATCAAACGGGACAATTTCAAGAAGATCTTCGCAAGTTAGGCTTCTAAGCTTCGTCATAACAGCAATTGCAAAGCTTGCAACTTGTCATACGGAATTGCTTCCACGGACTCAAGTAGCTCTTGCAAAAGTATTTTTATAATTAGTATCCTATGATTTTTGGTACTTAAATATTAGGAAATTTATTTAGGGGGCACACAATTCTTATGTTTTGACACGTCTCACGCTTAAACATTTATATTTACATACAAAATGTTTTTTTAGTTTACATTTATAAATGAAAATATAAAAGTGGTAAGAGTACTATACAAAATGTTTTTTTAGTTTACATTTATAAATGAAATATATATTTTACTTTTAAAAGTGGTAAGAGTACTAATCTTGATGTGATATTAAGGATTTGAGTGTGTAAATATGAAATTTTAGGTGTGAGATATGTCTTTATGTAAGTACATAAGAATTGTGTGCTAGGTATGTAAATGCCCCAAAATATTATGTTTGGAAATGATTGCATTCTAGCGATTCTGAAATTTTATGATGCTAGGTTGCACGGTCTCGTGGAACAGATAGGAGAGTTTCACAACGTGCTTCTGACTATTTGGGATTATTGAATGAACCTGCAATATGTTTATCCATTTTGGGGCCTTCAACAGGGAAAACTCAGAGGCCTGGCACTGTTAATTGGAGTGAAGGGGTTTATAAGATGGTTTCTCCTGTTCCATTTTATATTCTTGCTGAACAAAAAGGTACATTTACCTTTTTTACCTTTATTATTTTTTTCTTTGTAAATTCCGAGCTTTAAAGTTATTAACATTTGCTTCTTAGTATTAGAAGATGTAGATTCCAGAGAACCAGATTATTTTGTAGAATATAATTTTTTGGCTATTTTTTATTAATTGTGAAGAGCAAGTCGTCTTAGATGGATTGGTCACATTAAACATCGACCATCTAATTATCCGATTAGGAGAGTAGATGTTTTAGATTCGACTTATGTTAAGAAAGACAGAGGCAGACTAAAGAAGACTTGGGCTTATTGTATAAAAAATGTTCTTTAATTTATTGGAACTAAATGAAAATATGACACTAAATAGAATGCAATGGAGAAAAATGATTCATGTAGCCGACTAAGGCTTTGTTGTTGTGGTTGTTGTATAAGTTCTAACACTGGGAATCTTTGGAATAGATTAAGGCTTTGTTATTGTTGTTGTTGTATAATTTTTAACACTGGGAATCTTTGGAATGGTACCCTAGTTTGCCTTTAAAATTCCATGTTGCTTAACCATCAAATCCTGAAATTCCAGAAGATGGAAATTAATGGAAGAATAAGCTCATAAGCGTTTTTTAGAATCTACTAGGAGAAATAGGTTTAAGTGCTCAGGAGGAAGAGAAATAGGCAGGAGAGGAGCCAAGGGGCATGCAGTAGGAAGTGAATTGATGAAGGATGTCATTTGTAGCGTTTTAAAAATAGAGAGTGGCAGGTTCAAGATAATAATTGTTTTTCTTGCAAATCAAGTAGACTAGAAAGATGATTTGAAAGGCTTTAGAAGAGAACTTGCCACTAGCAAGAAAGGAATGTACCAACATGAGCTAAAAACTTTATGGGTTAGAGTGCAGAACTGCTTTGGATACAAGATGGAGGGGGTGAAATAACTAATTACTGCTATAGGGAGCCAATTAGCAAGATTATAGATAGTCAATACAATAGACACCTTGATTCATGAATGAAGATTATTATGTGGGTTATTTCAAATAAATTATGATGTTTGTTTTTAACGATCTTATTATGTTAACAAATTTTGGGGTATTAGGTATGATGAATGATTCCGTTATCAATACAGAATGCTCTAATTTGACCACATAGATTCTAAAACATTATCAGCACAAAGAGCCTTTGGGTCCGGTTGGGATGGCTGCATTTTCTAAGAAAAGCTTTATTTGTTGTGTGGGAAGTAGATTTTTGAAAAATGCTATGAGTATAATAATCTTTTTCTTCTTTTTAAAAAATCAGGCACATTTTCTTAAAAACTATCATATTTTAGTACGTCTAGTTATAAAAAATTGTTTCTCACCATAGATTTTCTTTAAACTGCAACAAAAAACTTTAGCCAAGTAGGATTATGACAACTGTTTAGCAAACGAAGTTTTGAATAAATCACTTTAAATAAACCCTTAATCCAATTGAAAAAATGAATTTTAATTCCTCATAAAAACCTCAAAATATAGATAGAAAATTAGAAAGTGGCATTGTAAGTAAATAAATTTTGGTGATTAATGAAAGTAACGAAGCAATTAAAATTTCGGTAGGAGTGATAGGATTTAGACCTCAAATATTCAAATGGTCTAATATAGAAGGAATATCGCTGGGATGTCATGCCAAAGATGGAAAACACTATGCAATTCGTAGCTTAACAGTGATGAACTACTTGGTGCAATTTTCTAATACTTTTTCACGGTTGCAGGTCCACCTTTCCATGCTTTCTCATTCTCGGATATCTTTCCGAGTGATGAAGGGTCCTCGCCGAAACCAAGAACAGCGAGAAGTTAATCAAACTTTGGTTTTGCTGCTGGCATTGTGCATCCTGTCAGAAAAGAAGAAGAAAAAATTCAATGTTACGAAAATCTTCTTCAACGAGTGGATTATATTTTATTTTATTGCTTCTATAATTCCACCACTCACATCTATAATATATTGAGTTGCTCACTCATGTTCAGCAGAAACTTTGTCATAAAGTCTTACCAGTTACCGCGCAGCACTTTAAGCACATGCTCTCCATTAATTGCTAGTTATGCTGTAAAGAAGTATTATACTGATTTGTTAGGAGCTCTAATTTGCATATATTACGTCATATTTTTGTGTCATCCGAAGTCTATTCCAAGTCTGCATTTCCATTTTTAAAACTTTTATTTTTCCCCCATTTTTTTTTTTTTGGAGGAAATCGCCATCATAGGGGATAACTTCATCGGTGAACCTTTTTTTTTAATTTCTAGTTTTACCGTCACACCATTTTGTATTTGAAAATATGAGAAATTTAAATGACCGTTTCGTTGATCCTGATTAATATTCATGAATTATGTACCTGTTTAAGCTCCAGATTAGAAATAGAATTTAATTTCTAGTTTTACCGTCACACCATTTTGTATGTGAAAATATGAGAAATTTAAATGACCGTTTTGTTGATCCTGATTAATATTAATGAATTATGTACCTGTTTAAACTCCAGATTAGAAATAGACTGGTTTGTTGTAAGTGTCTGGCCTGTAGTTTTCACATTTTGTTACCATCACAAATTTTGTTTTGTATTTGAATGAATTTTTGGCTTGGTCATAACCGTTGCATTTTGATATTGGGTTTGAGTTTAGAAGATCATCATTCTTTAATAATTAGGGGCATTTGAATGCATGCCACAATTCTGATATAATGTATTTATATATCTAACACTTCTGATTTGTTTTTTAAAAGTAAAATTGTATTTGAATAAATAGGTGGGCCCTCCCGACATGTTCTATGGCTAATAGATCTGTAAATAATCGCTTGGTCCATTATTTATTGCCAGGAGCGACCCACAACTCTCTATTTAGCTAACCTTGTATAACTACCACATGGATTTACTTTACTAATTGCCTTGTCGGTCTTGTTGATTGATCCGTCAAAGTGATTCACCTATTCAACTTCTTCAAGTTCCAAAATGCCATTTGTTACATTCCCAGTGGTCAAGACGAACTCCTTAGGCTGTTCGATTGAGTTTGCTCAGTTGATAGTCCTTGGGATTGCCAAACGGCTGAAGTAAGACTCAGTGTCAAAGAGACGACGTACATGTACATCTTACTATTTATGAGTCGCCTAACATATACATTATTGTTGAGTTTTTTTTATTTTTTTATAGCAATCATAAATATGAAAAGATTTCTTTAATATAAGACATTCAAATAATAATATACTATTTTGAAGGGTAGAAATATTATCTTAGAATGGGTTTAATCACTTGAATAATCAAATCTGTCATATGGATCTACGGAATCTTGATTTTTCCCTCATCTTACTAGTATAAGATAAGATCTATTTTATTATGAGGTGTAATACTCCTATGAGGGGGTTCTCTTATAGTTAATTATATCTAAAAAATTGCTCTTATGAACATTCTTGATTAAAGCTATGTTTATATCTTTCTTAATTATCACTAAATGCATGTGGGATGATAAAGTTTGAGGGCTTCGAAAACAGGATTGATTTAGATTAAGATTGGTTTCTCGAGTTGAGTAACTCGAGTTTGTTAAATTTATTTCATTTTAAAAGTTTGGTTCAAGTCAAAGTTTAGTTTTTGTTTTAAATTGGTTGTTAAATTGTGAAAATTGATTTATTGGAAAATTTAATTCTTTTGAAATTAATTTGTTAATATTATTAGGGTTGTTTTAAGTTAATTTTTTTTATAGTTGGCTTGAAAATTATTAAATTTTATTTTAAAATTTTAAAATTTTAATTACTTGTTGAAATTAATTAAGATTTATGAATGTTTGTTGAGTTCAATTTTAAAGTGCTTGTTAAAGTTACTTTAGTTTTGTTAAAGGTTGGTTTAAAACTTTTAAATGGTTTTTTAAGGCCTTTTAAAGTTTATTTAAGCCCATTTAAGCTTATTAAGGTTCATTTTAAATTCGTTAATTTGTTCAAATTTATTAAAGTTTATTAAGATTTTTATTGAAGATTAATTAAATTTGATTTATTGAAGTTCATTAAAGTTTGATAAATTTATTATGATATTTATTTCAGTTTATAGTTTGTTAAATTTTCATTAAATTTGTGTTGAGTTTTAAAACCTTTTTATTCATAAGGGTTTGAGCCCAACTATTGAAAATAAGTAATAGTATTGAGCTTGAATTTGAAATTTAGGCTTGAGGTACAATGTTGGAATTAATTTTAAAATTCAGTTGAATTGGGTTTGGATAGACTTGGGCTGATTTGAATTGGGTTGAATTAAGGATGAATTGAGTTGAGTTTGAGATTGAATCCTAAACTAGGGGTAGGAAAGAGTAGGAGATTTCTAGATGGAGGTAAATCTCTAAGCTAATATGACTCCAAATAGGAGTTTATGGATGTATAAATCTAAATTTTGGGAATAATACCCTCGGCCAAGATGCCTATGATTTTCCATCGTCCCGAGTGTATTAATACTCTTAGACTATTAATCAATAAAACAACAGGTCTTCCGTGTTTTTATAACAAATGACTTAAAGGTAGAATGTCCTATTATTAAATGGTTCATGATAACTTTAATATTGTCCAATGTGATATGTCATTTATTTTATAGGTACTAGTCTCTTATTTCATATATTAGGTACTAATTCTAAACTGAATTATTTTGGGATGCGTGTAGACCAGAGTCTTTGTCTACGTTGGCTAACCTAGGGTTCACAGTTCGGAGTTATCATCAATGGTGGTTATGAAAAATTAGAGTTGATCGATTTCAATTTTTTTCAGGGGTTCACTATTTAAGCAGGTGATTTATTTGATTCCTATGTTTTCACTTATGGTGACAAGTCGAAGATCTTCAAAAGTTTTTAGTTTCAATTTTTCTAGGGCGTCGATTGTTATCAGAAAATTTAGTTATATTAAGGTTTGATGTTCAGTTCCTCGTTTTTAGTGTTTTGATATGTGTGGCTATAATTTATATTCATAACAATTTAACTTGAACCTACTTATTCTATATTCTTTATATTTAAGGTTCACTAGTAATCTCACTGAAAATTTTTTTTTTTTCATTCAAAAAGATTTTTTTGAAAAAAAAATTGTCATGCAAAAAGTGTGTGATATAAGTTTACTTACATATGAATTATTTAGAACTAGAATGACACAAAATTTATATACTCATAAGTTAAGACTACAAAATCACATGTTTCGGGGAGAAATATTGTTCATTCGAGTACTGTTGGTCGTTATTATTATTTTTATTTATTGGGAGTAATTTAGATTTAATTTAATATATATAAATTTGATTTTAGAAAACAATAGTATTTTAATTTTGAAAAATACGAGATTGAACTGATCTCATATATTCAATAGTTTAAATTAACCGAGCACAACATCACAAGTAATGCACCTATCATGAGGAATAGACACATTACTTGATAGTGAGGCTCAATTAAATAAACTACAGAATTTATGATATCCGTTTTAGTTTGCGAAAAACTATTTTTTATGTTGACCGACAAATTCCCCTATCTAATATAAATAATTGGGTAGTGTTTATATTACCTGGGTTCTTAAAGCTACCATAGAAGTAAGCCCATATAGTCAATTACAACTCAAATGATCGATGTCACTTAAGAAAATTCTCAATTTAAATTAGAAAATATTATTTTTAAGAATTTCAAATGATGGTATTTTTCAAAGATCAGACCAATGAGTGTCAAATGAGAAAGACTCAAATTTGGAACATTGATTATAGAATCCAAAGGAAGAGAAAATAGGGGTTTTCACAGATCCTGAGGAGAACCTCAATGACTTCCCAAGCTACCCTATGGTTTGGCTCAAATTTCGAGGAAGAAACTATTGAATATTTCATCATGCCAAATTTATTAGTTAGGGCTTACATTTGTATGACATAATCATACAAATAACCTGAAGATATGAGGTTTTATGTCATGAAGAAATTATGTAATACTGAAGGACGACCTCAGATTCCTAAAAGAGTCAGCGCTTAAATTGCACAACATGATTGTGCGAAGGCTTAAGGATGAGTTGAGGTTTTATGTCGCACTAGGCGGACAACCTCAATGTCATATGGCTTGTTGTTTAATTCCAAGGAAAGATGTGCTGTTGTAGATCCTCGTGCTATTGTAGATTAGTGTTGTAGAAGATTGCCCATAGAGTTAGCTCCAGACTCCTCGACCAAGTAGCAATCCTAAAATCTAAAGGTTTAAAGGTTTAAATGACAAGCTTAATTCAATCATTACGGGGGGGGGGGGGGGT